CACATTCCACTTAGATCCCTAGGCTGTGTCCATCCAGTACCAAGAAAGACTGAGCTATGATCTACCTGCCACTGACAGTCTGCCATGAGACACCTGTCCAATGCCCCCATGTGTACACTTGTTGCTCAGTTAACAAGACTGACAGAGCAAGGCAAATCTAAGCAACCTCCACCCACTGGGGATGCTCACAGTGAAGAGTTACTCCAGCACCATGACCTGATGAAGATGACTTCCTACATAGTCCTGTTTGGCACAGTTCATCTGGAGCCCAATCCTGAGCTCTCCTTCTACAGAGGCCCAAGTCCATAGGCACAGAGGAGCTGAAAATGGGTATGGATTCTAAGTCAAGAGAAAAATGGAAAATCAGGAAAACATTTTTAACAGTATTCTTTTGTCTTCTCTTAACCTTTAAGGTTAAGTTATATCTAAGGTACTGAAAAATATTTTTGAGGATGAAATATAAATTCATACACTAAGAGAAATTAATACCCTTCCTTTGCCTCGAGTGAGTTACCCATCATTTCTCAAATGACCAGGCCTAATGCACATGGTATGGGTTAGGCCCGATGTCTTACTCTGTTGAGTGAGAATCTGGCTCCTCTTTCCCTGGGTCTAAACTAGTTGCAGATTATCTGCGGTCACTTGGGAGTTTTTTCTTCTATTCTGTCCCACCCTCAGTAGGCCCTAGGTATGTTATATATCAGTAGACTCATATAATATATAGCCTTCACACCCGGCTTTCTTCTTTTTTTTTTTTAATTTTGTTCTTGTTTTTGTTTTTTTCGAGACAGGTTTTCTCTGTGTAGTTTTGGTACCTGTCCTGGATCTCGCTTTGTAGACCAGGCTGACCTTAAACTCACAGAGATCTGCCTGGCTCTGCCTTCTGAGTGCTGGGATTTAAGGCATGTGCCACCACCTACCAGCACCCAGCTTTCTTCTTCTGTCTTATGGTTTCAGCTTAATCCATGCTAACTAGCCTGTCTCGGTGTTTCATCCCTCTCCCAATCGATTATAACCCACTGTAATCGTAAAATCCACATTTTGTATATCCACTTAACAGTGAGACATTTGGATTGCTTCCATGTTGAAAACTCTGATTAATACTGCTATGAAAATTCATGTCCAAGTTTTTGCAAAGACATAAGTTTTCAACACTCATAGATGTGTACCTAGAAGAGGAATTCAGAGGTAATATAATAATTTCATGTTCAGTTTTGAGGAACAGTCAAACTGTTATCCACAAGTGCTGTACCACTTTATATCCTCACCAGCAAGTAAGTTACCTTTTCTATTTTAAATATCTTGAATATCTTTATGTGTAAATATTAACAAAACTATTTTAATAACTTAGTATTCTATTACATGAAAGTATCAGGATTCATTTAATTATTGTCTTATGGTAGATATTTTTTACAATGCCGACCAAAGTGTAGTAAACATTTCACACATATCTTGCTACTGGAGTTATTTGGTCAAAAGTGGTATGTGTTTAAACTATCCTTAGTGATGTGTAAAGTAACATTTAAAGCCCACTGTGGTTCAGCTGTACAATTTCGTAACTTTTGATTATGTATGTGACCACAAGAACTCCATTAAAATTAAATATAAGTCCACCCATCACCTAAAAGATTAGACTTTCAGGACTCAGGGGATAGCTCAAAGGTAGAATGCTGGTCTAGCATACATGAAGCTCTGGGTTCAACCATCAGCACTGAAAAAAAAAAAAACACCAGTCTCCTTCCCTCTCTTAACCCCTCCTTTCTAGTCTCTCCTAGCTCCAGGAAGCTGTCAATCTATTTTCCACCAGATGACTTTGCATCAAATAAATGCACATTTTCTACAGTTATATTTAAATTGATTCATGGAATATATAATTTCTGCCTGATTCCTTTTACTCGCTGTGATTATTTTGAGATTCATCCACACTATTATGTGCATCAATATCTCACTTCTTTGTATTTATAAGTGTGGTTATAAATCTACCAGATGGATACACTGGATCTGTTTGTTTTACTTGTTGTTGTTCATGGGTATATAGATTGTTTCAAGTCTTTGGTATTAAAAATAAAGCCACTGTGACAAATAAGTTTCAAATATTGTTAGATTCATTTGCTTCTGTTTTTCTTTGCTAGGTGTCTAGAAGGGGGTAACTGGATCATGTGACAAGTATTGTTTCATTTTTAAACAAACTGGAGGTTTAGATCACTGGCCAGCCTCACCAGGGAGATCCCTCGCATTGCCTCAAATAGGTGGTAGAGTGCATGGCTGTAATCCCAGCATTCCAGAGGTGGAAGCAGGATAATTGGGGGTTCTGAGTCATCTTCAGGCTCAGCCAGCTCCTGGCCAACCTGGGCTACATGAGACCCTGTCTTAAAAGCAACCTTTGGGCTGGAGAGATGGCTCAGAGGTTAAGAGCACTGACTGCTCTTCCAGAGGTCCTGAGTTCAATTCCCAACACCCACATGGTGGCTCACAACCATTTGTAATGAGATCTAGCACCCTCTTCTGTATACATAATAAATAAATCTTTAAAAAAAAAAAAGAACTTTTAAGAAACTGACAGACTTCTTCAGAGTCAATGTTCCATGTTCATTCCCATAAACAGTTCTTCCCTGTTCTTGCCACTTAGTATTTATTGTTGTTCATCCTAATCTATAAAACACATTGATATTTATAAATCTTGTTTAGAATTAATTTATCGTGTACCTTGCAAACATGCACATGTAGTTATGTATGATATGTATGTATTATTGGATTAGACATATTTGGCAGAATACTGACACTGGCTACTTGGTTTGTGGGGTAAACTTTACAGACGTGTAAAAGGACGTACAAAAGTCCTGCAGTGACATCAAGCCAAGAATCAATATTATATATGAGCACATAATCATATGAATTTAATCCCAGAAACTTGGGGAAACAAAGCTAGGAAGGTATCTGTGAGTTTGCAGCCATCTCAGTCTATATAGCAAGGCCAGCCAATGCTGCACAGTGAGGCCTTGCTTTAAAAAAAGAAGGGGGAGGGGTAGCGGGAGAGAGAGAGAGATTCCAGGAATGAACAGCAGAGATTCATCTATCTTTAAAGACTTTAAAAATACCAGAATTAGTGGCCCAAATCATGTATCTATTTATTATCTGGTGTGGCTCCTACAAAAATTGGTTTTTTGGAAGAAGACAACAAGCAACCTCAAATTCAATCAAATGCTGCACCTGCACCTGCCGTCCCAGGTATGGTTTCTTTGTTTGAGCAGATTCACATTGCTTCTAGGATGTTGTGTGTGGCCACTGAGCTGTGAAATGCCCTCTGGTACATCTGTATCAGAAAGACGGAAAAGAAAACTTGCATTCTCATGGGCTAAACTACATGTGCTGTCTTACCACAGAGTGCTGTGAACTAATTTACTGTCTGTCAAAACATAGCCTAAAAGGAACTGGGTTTTCTAGGCATTTGGTCAACTATCACCTTGGTCCACTATAGCAATAACATCAGATCTCCAAACAAAAGGGGCATATATGTCTTTTACACTCTTCCCCTCTTTTACAATGATCCCTGAGCCTTGGGAGGGGGAGTATCATGCAGCTGTCCCATTTAAGGACTGAGTATTTTGTAAGTAATACTTAAGGCTGAGTATTTTTCAGTCTCTTGTTCTCTGCACATTGACCAGTTGTGAGTCTCTGTGTTAATCACCATCTACTGCAAATAGAAACTTCTCTGATGAATGATGAAACATTAATCTATGGGTATATGATAAACCATTAGGAATCTGTTTAATACTGTATCCACTTAGCAGAGTAATGGTGGTAGGTTCTCAACCAACAGGGCCTACAGCCTGTCTAGCCACAGGTTCCTGGTGATGATAATGGTGCCAGGTATAGGTTTCATCTTGTGGAGAGAGCCTTAAATCCAATCAGAAAGTGGTTGGTTACTCATGTGATTTGGGGGCCAATATTGCAGTGGCCATTTCTTATTAGTCCTCTCAGTATTTTAGCTCACAATGTTTGCAGTTGGATAAGACTGATGATTACTTTTATCTTCCAGCATAGCACCTATGAAACTATGAAACCAGCTGGGCGGTGGTGGCGCACGCCTTTAATCCCAGCACTCGGGAGGCAGAGGCAGGCGGATCTCTGTGAGTTCGAGGCCAGCCTGGTCTACAAAGTGAGTTCCAGGAAAGGCGCAAAGCTACACAAAGAAACCCTGTCTCAAAAAAAAAAAAAATGAAACTATGAAACCAGCTGAGAAAGATGAAGCTTCCAGATCAGTACCAGCTTGATATCTCTACATTTTATGACTTACGTATGTCCTGTCTTTAGCAATAGGCTTTTACTGTGAAGTTCTAGGGGACAACCAAGAGAATTGGCAATAACCTGTAATGTTTTAGGATCCATGGAGCCTTACTGGCCAACAAGTACATACGTGGTCATCTATTCCTGGCATTTGGCTTTTTTATTTATTTTGTCAGCCTGTGCTGTCTAGCAGGGGCATTACCTGCCCCATTATAAGGTAATTCCATTTCAACCACATATTTTAAATAAAAATGGAGTTGTGTATATTGTACATACATACTCCAGTAGCAGGTTTCCATGTGACCATGACTACAGGGAAACAGTGTCTTCTGGACACAGCCGGGCAGCTGCACATAGAAACTCACAGCAGTTATGACAGCATGCACAAGACCTGTGACACTGAAGCCAGACTGAATCTCAGCATGAAGAAGAGAGATGGGCATGAAGTCCTACCACTAGTCTAGGAGCTACTGGCAAACCATAGCTGCTGGTAGAGGGAGTATCAGTTTTCTCTAAAAGTACAGTCCTGGTAAGTCACCCATACTCCATAGAAACCCACACATCCAAGACTATATTGGACAAATTGGACTTAATAGGTTTGTTTAAAAAAAAAAAAAAGAACACAACATTGAGTGGGTAGGGAGGTAGGAAATCTGCGTTGAGTTGGGGGATGTGAGCAAATATGAGCAGAACACACAAAATTCTCAAAGAACTAATTAAAGAATGGGTATTTTAATGTGTTGAAGACATTGGTAAGACATTGTGTTAGCTACTTTTCTCAGCTCACCATCAAAACTATCTAGCAAAAGCAAGTCATGGGAGGAACGGTGCTTTTTCCCTCATGGTTCCCAAGAGCTCAGTCGATGATGCTTGGTTGGCCACATGCACTTGGGCAGAATATCGAAGTGGCGGGACAACAGTAGAAGGATTTTACTTCCTTATGGATGGGAAGGAGAGAGACAGAGGAAAGTCACTGAGAGTCTGGTATAACCTTCCAAAGTACCTTCCCAGTGACACCCCTTCACCTAGGCCCACCTCCCAAAATTTTCCACAACCTGACATCAGGGCCATCAGCTGGCAACCAAGCACGCAAAGCATGATTGTGTGGACAATGTTTGACATGCAAACTATCATAGATGCACATTCCAGACAACAGAAAGTAAACCACCAAAGCCTCCAAGGCCTGCTACCCCAGCACAGACAGTCAACCAACGCTCTAAGATGTCAGTTTTAATGCAGCACAATGTTATTCATTAAGTTGTGCTGTTACCATGGGAGAAAAGCCGCAAGGCATGACAAAACTCACTATCTATCAGAGTTTTATTAGGAGGAAGGAGAGATAGGACAGAATGTGGTCAGGCCTGTTGGAAAGACATGTGAGGAAGAGGGAGAGATGGGGGAGGAGAAGAGAGCAGAAGAGAGGGGAGGAGTCTGTGACCGGCTTTTTAAGGGTTCCCCACACATGCACATATGGGCTTATAGAGCTATGCCACGCATGCACATAGATTGCTTGATCATGCTGCACACAAACTGCGTGATCACACAGCGCACGGGTTATGTAAGACATAAGGCCCCTTGCTTGGCTACTGAACCGCACATGTCAGTCACAGAGCTGGGGGAGTGGTCGGGAATTCCAACATAAGGCATAAGCGAATATCCCCTCCAAAGAAAGGAGTCCTGAGGTAAGACTACACAGACTCACAGACAGTGGCAAAAGGCTTGGCTGCTTGGTGAAGGATGGGAGAGGAGGGCTAGAACACTGGAGATAGGGAGGTGTGAGCTCTGTGGATGGTCAGATGGAAGTAGCTGTGAAGGGCCATGAGATCTGCACTGCTTCTGAATATCTAATAGAATGTCAGACAAGAGCCAGGGAGATGCCTCAGTCAGTAAAGCACTTCTGTGCAACCTCGAGGACCTGAGTTCAAGTCCCAGAACAAATATAAAAAGGCCAGGCCCGGTAACAGGCCCAGCACTGGGGAAACAGAGACAAGAAGGTCTCTGGGGTTTGCTGGCCAGCAAGAAACGAAGGAAGTTTCTGGCCAGTGAGGAACCTGCCTCAAAAAATAGGTGGATAACACCTGAGGAACATCACCAGATGTTGACATCTGGCCTACACACACACACACCTACACATACATACACACACACAAGGAAAATGTAGTCTTCTCAACCAAGAAAAGGGCACCAAAAATCTAAGTAGCTATAATAACTCACACAGATAGGCGCCTTTTCCCAGAGGAATTGATCTCTGACAAATAGATGATCTTTTTGTTTACCTGATTACATTCAGTATCAACCCATTTATCTTCCACAAGATTATAACACTGGCTACAGAAGATTTTCAGTGTTTTCTCTCCACATAATCTGATACCATTGGAATGAAAAGGGAAGAAAATGCATTACATACTTACGTTTGTTTTTAGACACACACAACATCCCTGGAAGAGCATACTACAAACAAGAAACAGTGAGTGCCTTGGGGAACAGGAACTGTGTGGGGCACAGCCAGAAGGCGGTTGTCCTGAAATCCCGTACTGTGTCATTGAAGAAAACGACAAATAAAGCAAGTCACTTACTCAGGCTCTCTGCCCTTCCCCCACCCCCTTACCACATTTTCTCTTTCTAATTCCACACCCACACCACCAAAGTTGCCACCGAAGAGTTCATCCACCCTCCTCCGGGACCTTTAAAATTCGTTCCGGGCTGATTAAGCAAGAACAGAGGCTTCTCTACCTCCCCACTTGCTTTCCCTGAGGCTGGCCTTTCTCATCTTCCAATAAAGCCTCACAGTTCCTGCTGCCAGCCTGGTGATCTCTCCGCGTTCTCCAGGTTGTTCGTGGCCGCTCTTAATGTTATTCCAGTCGATGTGAGACAACTGGGCCTCTCCTTCTCGGGACCTTCTTTCTATATCTCCCCCTCAGCATCACTATTGATTTTAAAAGCCTTCATTTGGTAGGTTTTCTTCAGGGCATAAGAAAGGGCCTGGCGGCAGCCGCCGCCATGACCAGAGATACTGCAGCCGCCGCCATGACCAGCAGCATGTAAAGACGCCAGCAAGCCACCAGCCACATGGCAAGGCGACTCTCCAGCAATGCAAAATCTCATTGGTGCATCTCAAGACCAGATACTGGAGCGGAGTGGCCAATAACCCGGCATCGGTGGCATCATCTTCCAGCGCCCCTTGTCCGCTTCCGGGCACAGCCTTGACACTACAGAATTCAACCGAGCAGGCCCGGCAGTCCGTGAGGCGCAGCCAATGGAGAACGGGTCTGGTCGGAGAGGGCGGGCCTTCTGTGGGTGACGCCACCAGAGCGCGACTCCCGTCCGTACCTGGAGAGCCAGGAAGATGGTGGTGATGGCGCGCGTTCCGCGTCCCGAGCGGCCGGATCTTGTTTTTGAGGAAGAGGACCTTCCCTATGAGGAAGAAATCATGCGGAACCAGTTCTCCGTCAAATGCTGGCTCCGCTACATCGAGTTCAAACAGGGGGCCCCGAAACCCCGGCTTAATCAGTTGTACGAGCGGGCACTCAAGCTGCTTCCCTGCAG